GATCCTTTCCCGGCTCCCCTGCTTCCCCCTCCTGGAGCGCCACCCCTTGCCCTGAACCGTATAGCCTCCCTCTGCTGTGCAGAAGGACCCAGAGACCCCTTCTCTTGAACCCCTGTCTGCCTGGCCAGGGCGAGAGAGTCCTGCCCACCCCAGCATGCGCCCCTCAGGGGACGTGCGGCTGAGGCCACGTTCCCCGGCTGCCCCTCAACGTGGCCCGTTCCCTTCACTACGAACCCGTCCTTCCCTCCCTATGTGCTTCAATTCCAGGATGTACCTCTGTTCCCTTTCTGTTTTCTCTCCCTACTTCTCTCCGAAAGCCCTTCTTTGCCCTCCTCTGCTCGGCTGTGTCCCGCGTCAACTGTCTGTGATGACACAAGTAGGGGGGGCTGTTGAGCCGGATCACCTGGCTTCGAACCCCCGTGTCCTCCGCCCAGTTCCCCGACTCGGGCCTCGAAAATCTGGAGAACGGTAGCGGCCGCTCTCAAGGGTCGTGTGAGACTCCAGCGGCCTCGGAGCGCGTACAAGCGAGCCTGGCTCCCAGCGTGGTGGGGAAATGACACGGCCCAGCGTGAGACGTGTGGCATTCTGACCGGAGCGCTGGCTTTGAAGCCGAGAGAATTCACGCGTGGGGTCTGCGTCCCCGGTGTGCTTGCAGCTACGTGAGTTCAGACGCCCTCAGGGTCGACCTAGTGGAAGAGCGGCTGCAGGGGGACTTCGCTTCCATCAATCACCTGCTGCCGGATGACAAAGTGACGGCTCTCCACCACTCGGTGTACGTGAGGTAGGCGGCCAGGGGGGCGCCGCTGTCTGCACGGGGTCGAGTCGCCTGCTGGCTTCGTCCAGCTGCGCGGCCCCACGAGGACCCAAGGGACGGGCGAGCGTTTCTCCGGATGCGAGGTGGGGGCTTGGCCACCGCGGCTAGACTGGGTGGACGCACCGGCTGGGGTGGAATACCCACCCGGAACCGGGCGAAGATGGCCCGGCAGGGGGAGGGGGTGGTGAGGGCTACGGGGCCGTCTCTTCATAGGCGCCGGGTGTGCGTGCGGGACAGGACGGAGGGACAAGGAAACTAGAAAGAAAGAGAGTAAGACCCAGACGTGTGTCATCTGTCTGTAACGTACTTAACGCTCCCCGTTTCTCTTCTGTGTTTCCCCCAGCACTTCGTGGGGGAAGGCAAAATGAGATGCCCTTAAATGACAGGTACCTGCGGCCCAGCGCGTCCCCGCCTGGTCCCCTGCCCCCACGGTCAGGCATCTCTATACGCTCTTCCGGGCACGTCGGACCCAATCCCAGGAGCGTGTCCTGTGCTCTGGGAAACACCGGCTGGTCAGCCCGTCATTGCATAATTCACAGTCCCCTCCCCCCCGGGGCCCACGTGCGATTCGTGGGGACAGCGCATCCCTTGTGTCCTAAAACCTCAGTCTGGTGACTCTCCCTTTTTCTTGCATGGTTGCATGAGCGAACTGGGGCTCGAAAGGCAGGGAAGGTCACGAAGGGACGCGGCTGGAGGTGACCCGGCTCCCACCCATGCCAGGGCGAGCACGTGTCATTCCTGCAGCAATCACGGCTGTGTTCTGGGGAGGAGGGGGATCTGGGCTGCAAGGACTCTGTGCCAGGAGAGGCTGCCTTGCGGTCCAAAGGGCCCTTGGTGTCCTCCCGGGGCCGGCGAAGAACACTGGGGTAAAATCCACCTGCACGTGACCCCAGTGCACGTTTGTTTAATACGGGTCCTCGGTATCTCCTGTCACCAGCTACAAGAAGCTTAGAAATGCCCCGTGCCCTGTCGCATGCACAATCCTTCACGGTAGCCGAGTGTTTTGGGGTGAATGTGTGACCTCACACTCGTGTTGTAGACTAACATTGCAGTCTGTATTCCAGAGCAGGGGAATAGAATTCCTTTTTCTTTTACCCCAAGATTAAGTCTACAGAAGCGCCCGTTTCACAGGCCTCTGGGTATTCACCGTAAACCTACTCTTTTTTTTTTTTTTTTTTTTTTTTTTTTTTAATTTTTTTTTCAACTTTTTTTATTTATTTATGGGACAGACAGAGACAGAGCATGAATGGGGGAGGGGCAGAGAGAGAGGGAGACACAGAATCGGAAACAGGCTCCAGGCTCCAAGCCATCAGCCCAGAGCCTGACGCGGGGCTCGAACTCACGGACCGTGAGATGGTGACCTGGCTGAAGTCGTACGCTTAACCGACTGCGCCACCCAGGCGCCCCAAACCTACTCTTTTCCTCCTCAGGGAGGAATGTGCCTCGGGTCACGTGGTTGCCTTGAAGTGCATGGGTAAGAGTTCTTCAACCACAGAGGTTGCTCACAGACTCCTGTCCCCCCTGCCCCGCTCCGGCTGCCCGGGGTCCCCTCTCCTGGGTGCCAGGTGGGAACATTTGGGCCCCACCTGACAGGAGGAGGAGGCCAGTGCTGGCCCCTGTCACCCGATGGGGGCGGGGTGGTAGACAGCCCAGAGCATCTTCTCAGCAGCGGACGGACCATGGTCCACGAGGCCCTGTCTCTCCATGGTGGCTCCAGGAGCCTGACTAACTGCTGCTTTCTCCTCCCCACCCCCTTCCCGCCTCAAGGAAAAGCCTGCACTGGCCGTTCAGTGCCCCAGGCTCCTTGCTTCTGGCCCCGGGGAGGGTTCGCCCCAGGGGGTGGGGTCTGGAGAAGTCAGGCCCGTGCACGCTGCCAGCATTACTGAGGGGAGCGCTGCAGAAGCCGGGCTCCCGTGCCCCCCCCCCCCC